TTATTATTATTAATAATAAAGGGTGATGTATCCTTAATTTGAAAGTGGTGAGGGTTGGTGGGTGCTCTGGTGTGGTTTGCTTCTTCTTTCCTATAAAAAAAAATCTATCGTCTCTATCTCCCCTCCGTTTTTTTTGAGTTTGTGACTCTCTTGTAACACCTCTAATCTTCGGCACTTATATGACCTTATTGTGTTGCAAGTGCCGTAAGGCTCTTATTAAAACTTAATTTGAAACACAATTATGATATCAGCAACAGAGAAAATAAAAGTTTTTAGACCCAAACTTTCGAGAACCAACTGCTGAAGTAAGTTATTCGTATCCTATCTATTTTTGCACTCCTTTAAAAAAAAAAAATACTTTTCTAAACTTTTCCTTTTTTGCTGCTGTACTCACATTCATGCCCTTTTGCACTCTGTTCTTGAGAAGTCGAGCCCAGTGGGCGGAGCCTGCGTATTTTGGATGAGATGGAGACAGCGGCTGGTCTTTGTTGGACAGTTCCTTCTTCACAGCATTCAGCTCGTCGTTGAAGAGATTAAACACTTCAACAGTCTTCTTGTCAATGGTTCGGCGGATCGCCTGCAAAGTTCAGAGAAAAGAGGGCATCAATGCTTTACACGATGCTACACAGTATATACTCACAAACTTTAAACATTCCTATAGCATGATGCTATAAAACAAGCCACATTACAGATTAACGTAATTCAGTTTTGGAAAAAACAAGCACTGAACCATGATAATGACCATTCCGTACTAAAAAAATGCAAGAACAACAATTACAGAAACTATTAATGTTTGTTTTTGTAACAGTTTTACGTGACAGGTATACAGAAAGTATAGAGGGAGAAAAAAATGCAGCGGTGCCCTTTGGCTACCTCTATAAACGTTTCGTCAGCTCCACCGTCTATTTGAGGGATGGTCTATCAGACCATAGGACCGCCTGAACTATATCAGGTCAATTTAGTTTAAGAAAAGAGAAGCACCACAGTGTGATAACGGTAGGTGCAGAGAGTTAGTTTTATTATTTTGTTTGCTTTAATAAGTGTTTTACGGCACTTGCAACACAATAAGGTCATATAAGTGCCGAAGATTAGAGGTGTTACAAGAGAGTAACAAACTCAAAAAATAAGGAGGGGAGATGAAGACGATAGATTTTTTATAGGAAAGAAGGAGCAAACCACACCAAAGCACCCTCCAACCACCCACTTTAGTTTCAGGTTAAGGGAAGTACATTGACATGGTAACTGTCATTTAAGTTTGGTGCTGGGTAAACATAAGATAGACAGATAGAAATAACAGGGGCACGGAAATAACGGGGCCACACAAAAAAAACACAACCAAGCAGGGGCATCCATCCGCCTCCCCCATCTATTTGCTTAACACTTTTTCTGCCTCATCTCGCCGATTGGCGATGTTCACCATCCAGTTTATTTGGATTTTCCCCAAAATATGATGCAAAGTGTTAAATTCATAATAATAATATTATTATGCTTCTACAGTTAAATGACAAAAATAGCTATAAATAACCATCTTTTCAATAACTCTTCCGAAAATAAATTCTCTGTAAAAGATTCTTCGCAAACATGCATGAAAAAAAAAAGGAAAAACCAATAATCACTCCACCTCTCTGGAAGCCAAATGCATGAAGACGTCCAGCATCTCCACCCCTCCGTCCACCGTGGTCACCGTGTCAAACGCCGACGAGATTGTGTTCTGCATCATCACCTCCAGGTCCTTGACACCCGCCCGGAACCTGATGTGGTGACGACAATAATAAGTGAGGCATCACGGTGAAATCAGGCGCTCGTCAATATTATGAAATCGAAGAAAACAGCATTTTTCTTCCCGTATGGTAATTTTTATTTAATTTTTATTTTTCGGCTCAACACCTATTATGTCCATTTATGTCATCTCCTCCCCCACCCACCGCCTTTTTCCTCTGACACGTTGTAACTGCCTTGCCAAGAAGAGACGGTTTTTCTCCTGTCTTCCCTCCACCTCCCCTCTTCTAACCATCCCTCCCTCTTCCTTTCTCTCCCCGCCTCAAACCACCTCCACCCCTCCCTTTTCTTAGTGTCTGTTGGTGTTATACCGAGAAGCTGCCCTTTATTTCTTCCCCTCCCTATTCTTTTCTTCTTCCTCGTCTTCTTCAACCCCTTTACCTCCATGCTCATACCCTATCCCCTTAAGCCTCCAACCCACTACCCTATGTTTTCCCGTCCCCTT